TGTTTAAGAGCCATTAATTTTTTGTAATGTATTATAGAATAATAAATTGATGGAGAATGTGTGGTTAAAAAGTAAGGAAATTTTATTGGTTTGTGTATAGAATATTTTATTGTGTAAATGTGTGGTGGAGAACGAGACTGAAAAAAACAATTTAAAATTTTAAAGGATGACAAACAGGGTCTCAATGAAATTAACTCGTTTCGTAAAATGATGAACAATAGAAAACTATGGTGAAAATGTAATTTTTTTTTTCTTTTTTTTCAATTTTCGTTTTGTTGGTATTTTACTCTTTGATAAGAGATATTTGAATTAAATTATTTGTACACTCTTTGTGTACATTAAGTTTAACATTTCAAGACATGTCAAAATTTATGTTATTAATTATTTAAAGTATTGTTAAAATCGATGTATAAAAAGTTGTAATCTCACAGTAACGTTAAATTTGATGTACTTACAGCAAAATTGGAGATTTTTTCTAGAGAGGTAAAAAGTGAGTCTGGTTTGAGCTACTTCAGAATTATATTAGGAAATAGAATGAATTTGAAAGTAAATGAATGTATAGAGTTCGATTTGTTTTTATAAATATATAAAGAATTAGAAACATGAGAAAACAGACAAATTTAGCATCAATTAAGTGATCAAAGTCGAAGGTCATCAAAATTGCGTTGATTAATATATTTTAAATAAAAGTAAAGTATATGTATCTTTTTAAGTACTAAGAGTGTGCTTCAATTTTCGGTTAGTAAAAGCATCTTTAAAAGTTAAGTCAAATAGTTTTTGGAATAAGTGAAATGAAAATCACCAAAAGTTTTAATAAAAAGATAAAAAGAAAAGAACTGAATAGACTCGTCTTTCATGGACCAGTCCAGTCTGTTTTACTTTAAGGCCCAATATTCAGAACGGTAATTCGTTTAACAAACTAGTCGTTATCTGAAGCATGATAAGAGTATGTTATTTAGAAGGGAAAAATTTATTTCTCCTATTTTTAATATATACCATTTCAAAAATAAGAAAATAACTATCAAATTTCTAAAATAAGATATTTGACATATAAATACACTATATATATATATATTTATTTATTTATTTATTTATTTATAAAAATATATAAAGATATGTATATATAATATAGTTAACCCACCCTACCTCCACCACCCCTACCGCTCCGACAACCGTTCCGGCGACTACTCCGATTCCGACGACTATTTCGATGATCGTTCCGACGACTGATCCGATT